CCTCTCTTATGGTATCTACCCCGTGTTGTTTTGAAGCAGATTATTTGTGCTTCTGTTCTGTCTTCCTACAAAGTTACAAGCTCTTTGGAGACAGTATTAATTTTATTTTGGTCTCTGCATGGTGTTTTATGCATGGAAGGATCACAGCAGCTGTTTGAAAAAATGATGGCATAAATGAAGAAGGAGTAATACATGGTGGCCTTCATCTTGAAATAGATGTTCTTGTTTATGTGCGTGAGAGCCCAGAGTTTCATCAGCTGCATCGTTCACTAACTGGATCAGAAAACATGAAGACAGAGAAGAGCCAGAGGCAGGACCACTCCAGAAGAAGCTGCTGCCCACACGGCACAGTTGTTTCTGAGCTTTGGGAACTCCGTCAGTGCTGTCCTGTTGACCAGGACCTTGTTCTCCTTGCCGTGGTGGTGGGAACAGGTGGGGTGTGGGAAAGCAAGAGAGGAGAAATAACAGAAGTGTGGGAGAATGGCGAAGACCAAAGTTTCAAAGTTACAGATTTTCCAGATCAGAGTTTCTCACCTCAGCACTGTTAATGTTTTGGGGAAGATCATTCTTTGTTTTCGAGGCCTGGGCTGTGCATCGTGGCATTTAGCAGCATCCCTGGCCTCCACCCACTAGGTGGCAGCACCACCCCTCCATCCAGTCGTGACAACCAAAAATGTCTCCAGACATTGCCAGGTACCCTCTGGGGGGCAAAATCCTACCACATTGAAAACCCCTATTCTAGACAGAAAAGTACTATGAAGCTCCTTATCTGTTAAGGGTCACAGCAAACCCCTACGTTTTATTTATACTTCCATTCTTCTGTGCTTCTGCTCTTGCATTTCTTCTCTCAGCCCAGAATGCTGTTCTAGGGCAGGTGAAGTTCCAAAAAACAGAAACATGCTCTAACTAGCCGAGGTAAAAAGAAGACCTGTTAGAAGGAGAGAAGGAAATTTCATGGAAGCAACAGGCCTCATTCCAGTTACAATTGAGTTGACTCTGACTCATGGTGACCCCATGTGTGTCAGAGCAGACCTGTGCTCCATAGGGTTTTCAACGGCTGATTTTTCAGAAGTACATCACCAGGTCTTTCTCTGCGGCACCTCTGGGTGTTTTCAAATCTCCAACCTTTCATTGGCAGCCGAGTGCATTAACCATTTGCACCACCCAGGGACTCCAGCAGGCCCCATGGCTAGCACTAAGCACATGAGCTTGAGGTCAGAACACCCTAGGTTAGATCCCAGCCCTGCCACTTCCAAATGCTGTGACCTCAGGCAAGCCACATGATCTCTTGAAGCTTCAGTCTCTTCCCCTGTTGAGTAGGGGTGATACTGGTATAAGTAATATATCGACTAATGCTGACAATGGGGCAGTGGTGGTTCAGCGGTAGAATTCTTGCCTTCCATACAGGAGACCTGGGTTCGATTCCCAGCCAGTACATCTCATGTGCAACCACTGCTCATCTGTTAGTGGAGGCGTGCATGTTGCTATGATATTGAAAGGTTTCAGTAGAGCTTCTGGACTAATATGGACTAGAAAGAAGGGCCTGTTGATCTCCTTCCAAAAATCAGCCAGTGAAAACCCTGTGGATCACAACAGTGAATGTCAAAACAGTCCAATCACCAGTTTGTTCCAGTGTGCAAGGGATCGCCATGAATAGGGGGCCAACTCCACAGCAGCTAACAACAACAGCAATGCTAACTAGGGGCTCAGTGCCATGCCTGGCACATGTGGGACACCCCAAGCCCAAGAGTGCAAGAAGACCTGCCTCATGGCACTTGGAGGTTGTGATGGTTATGTGTCAACTTGTGTGTCATTCATGGCTGGGCCATGATTCTCCATGGATTGACAGTTATGTAATGATGTAGTTTGGCAGTTATGTAATGATGTAGTCATCCTCCATGATGTGATCTAATGTGATAAGCCAATAAATTGTAAGGGGAGTTTCCTCGTGGGTGTGGCCTGCATCCAATATATATATGGACACTCTGGCAGAGCTCGCTTGCTTACTCAGGATCCTGCATCTGGCTCATTATCATCTGACCTCCAGTTCTTGAGACTTGAGGCAGCAGCCAGCTGTCCTGCCTGCTGATCTTGAGATTCATCAGCCTTCACAGCCTGTAAGCCAGCAACCTGTCATCTTACTTGCCGATCTTGGATTTGTCAGCCTCCGCAGCTGCATGACTCAGGAGAAGCCTCCAGCCTGATGCTTGACCCACGGACTTGGGACTTGCCAATGGCTCTACAACCATGTGAGCCATTTCCTTGAAATAAATGTCTATATATAGGGTCGCTATGAGTCAGAATTGACTCAACAGCAGTGGGTTTGGTTTGGTTTTTGATTTTATACATATACACTTTACTGATTTTGCTTCTCTAGAGAACTGAGCCTAAGACATTTGATACTGAGAGTAGTTGTAGAGAAACAATCTTAGGGATGAGTTTTCTAAATTTGTTCTCAAGACT